GTATTTAAAACAGCATTTCAGGTGCATCAAATGTATTGCGTCGTGTATTGGAATTATTTTTAGTCGAGGGTACAACGATTATTGTAATGGATTTTTGAGATGGTAGAGGCATACAATGCGCTGCGACATTTCGCTGCTGCGAAATTGCAAACAATAGGTCGCAGGCGCCAGAATTTGCGTTTTTTTTCCCTTCCGCTGTTTTTACCAATTGTTCGTTCATCTTTGCCTTCTCTGCAATGCGCGATCCGGCGAAGCAGCAGGGGACAGTAAATATCTCGGTATTTAGTGCGTAAATTCGCATAGAATGAAAACACGGTGTCCCAACTTACCTGCACCAAAGGCAGCAACTGGCTGCACCATCTGATGAACGAACAAAAATACATATGAACATTACTATTTACCCAGCCTCGGGCGCAACTACATTGCTTACCAAAACTTCTAAATGTGATTGACAGACACATTTGAAAAGGACAAGTAATGACGCAGACAGGTTTCCTACAGGCGTTGCTTACACGGCTTCGTACAAACATCCGCCGTTAGATGGACGTAAATCCACCCATTTGAGAAGAGGTCTCAACATTTCAAACAGCGAAATTTGCATTAAATAATTGTATTAGAAAGTTTTTGCTTGTTTTTTTTAGTTGGTGACTCTTAAACTTTTGATTAGTTTTATTTTGTTGTTTGTGAAACATTGTAATTTAATACTTATGTTGAAAACTTGTACTATAGTATTGTAATAATGAGTTATATCGTTAATATTCAAAAATAGTTAGGCTATTCTTATGACTACAGCAGATGCGGATAAATACTTCAAGGGATAAAATAATTTCCCGACTTTTCCATTTTCACTTTCCTTGCTTCTCTTAAATAAAACTGCGCTTAAAAAACATTAGCACAGAAAATGCTTACATATGCATACTAATTCCCTATGGCTTTAACGGAAAATGCTGGCAGTTGACAACGCGCGCGCGCGCACACACACAGCCAAAAACAAAAACAAACAAACGCGTTGTTGTAAACTTAATTCTGCCAAGAAAGTTTGAAGATTCCTATATATACTCATTTTTGTGCACGACAAATTCTTATCAATTATCTTCGCATATTTTCTATTGAAAGGAAATATTTCTTAAAAAATGAGCATATTTTTGATACACTATCAGCTCAGAGAGATCGGGGCGAGAAGGAATGCCCCTACGACCTACCGCCTTGAGAGACAAGCGACCCCCAAGACTGAATTCTACGCTGACAAGCTGAAAGCTTGACTTCAATGTCCGGGCTGTCACGACTAAAATACCGTGTCACAGGGATACAGAATTTAAAAACAGGCTTACAGATGCATCTTGTAGAAACATTCTCGCATCTTTCTGCCATGAGCTTTACCTCACAAGAATTTCCGTTTTATAAAGATTTTCCCCCTCTGCAGGATATGTGAAAAAATCGCTTCTGTTTCCGACGTTGGCGAGGTTTCCGTTTTCATGCCGTATTTTAATAATGCCATTTAACTTCACGGGTCGGAGAAATTTTTCCGGTTAAGGCAGGTTTCCAAGTTTATACAGGTTCAGGGTTTAGACACATTTTAGATGTACTATTATCGCGCGCGGGTCCTGTGTTGCTCCTTCAGCCCCTCAAAATCTCAAGCTTGTCAACTGGCCGTCAAAATTGCAGAGCACTTGCTGTTTGGCCAAATGACTTCCATTCTAAAATCAGTTTATCGATTAATCAGCATTTATCTTTTGTTAAATATTGAGGCACAGATTGGTTTTTTCCTGGATTTTTAGTGAGGCTGCTACATGCCACACACGGCACGGTACTTTGTTACCCCAAATTTAAACTCTAAACCCTTTTTAAAGGACCGGCCAAGGCAAAAAATAACACACGCTATACACAAACCCTAACCTCGAAGGAGAATACAAACTTTTAGGCTTTCCACTCTCATTTTGTGAAACTAAAAACAGATTTTTTGCCCGATGCCACGCATCCTCGAGTTAGGTGATGCGATATCTTCTATAATTATTCCGAAGCGCATTCGAATCTCACAGCTGGCAGATTTAAATTTAATGCTTTCCTAAAAAAAGTCTATTATACTGTGATTTTAGTTCAATCATTTCTTATTATTACAAAAATGTCGCGTTAATTTTGGTTCAGTTTTCCAGGTAGTACTTGAGGGAATCTGACTACTAGATGCGGGAATATTACTTTCTTGCTCATAACTTGTCTTTTGATAAGATATAGAGCAACTTTGTTTTTCAAATAAAAATATATATTTATTTTCTTGATATTTATGACGGGCATAAAAGACGGAATCCAATTATTTAGAAATACAGGTGTGCCAGGGAAAGTCTCGCCAACGTGCTTTCCGAATCAAGAGCTCCTATTGAAAAATTGCATATATGTTCGCAGCAATCAGATCACTGGAACACAAGTGAAGGGAACAACACTTCGAACATCGTATTATTGTAGCGAGTTACACAATTTACGTTTTTCATTAGATATACCAAGATGCAATGTCGTGGTACTAACAAAATTTGTTGCTTAGCGATCTCACAGCACTGGTCCCAATGCGGAGAGTACGTCACTGGTACTGTTATTTACGTTAATCAAGCATTTTTGGATAAAGATTGAAATTAATTGAAACTGGCGATAACAGAAATTGTGAATGTAGTGCTCTACTCAACGCCACGCAATGTGTGCTATTCTGCTCGCAGAGCAAATATTCTCAATGTGCATCATCATTTAGTGGCTTAAAAGGGGAAGGAATGAACGCCAGAATCGGAAGCAGTTATGATAGATGCTCAGGATCAGGGCTGAGAACACTGATTAAAGGCGGTTCTCAAAATTTCCCAGACGATAAATGCCACATCTCAGCAAACAAGTCGGAAAAACCACTGATCATATCGGCATTCAGCTTGTCCAATTTCTATCAAAGGCCGAATACTGTGAAAAGACAAAAGCCATGTGCTTCACTAGACAAATCCTATATAGTTCCTCGAAAGTTCCCAAACACATGTTCAAGTTGTACAAACAGTCACCAAACCGGTTGACGTCTGTTGGACTGGTGTTCAATATTTTTACACCAAAAATTTTTATTATTTATTTCAAATTAGGTTTTTGGATTCTAGGGATTCTTGTAATAATGAGTCAATAATTAAAGGGATCTTACCAAGTCTAAGTTAATAAAACAATTTTATTTTAATCATTTTTTAAACTTACAACAAAAATAATCAGGATGTATGGATAGTTGGAAAAAACAGTTCATAAAAAGTACAAAATGTTTTTTATGAAGACTTTTGATGCATTTCATATTTTTTTTAAATGCTTATCTAAACATACAAACTAAATTATATATATAAATATATATATATATATATATTATAATATATATATATATATATTTATAATATATATGGGGATTATAAGCCTCCCACCACCTTTCCAGGGAGCGCTCTTGCCCTACATTTTGAGATATATGAATAACAATAAATAATAATAATAATAATAATAATAATAATAACAACAACAACAACAACAACAACAACAACAACAACAACAACAACACTTACGATTCGCCTTTTTTACACCCAACACGACAGATCAAAAATTATGCATAGTTCCATAAAAAAATTCCCTCAATATCTCATAAAATACAAATGATATATGAGCAATGAATAGATCTACTTATTAGCCCATTCCTCGTGCACTTCTGTGAAGATTCCATTGCTTCAAGATTTCACTTCTGTGAAGATTTTATTTCTTCAACTAATCAAATAAGACAGGTACTAAAAATGTGCCTCACCTGTATATAAAGTAAATTTACATGACATAAAATAATGTTGGTCCAGAAAATTTTCTGATTTAATTTTATTTCTTGTAGTACTCCTAGATAAATTATAAGGCAGAATAATTTAAGCAACAAATGATATATGTATCATTTTGATACAAATTAAATTCACAACAAAAAAGCTTTATTTCTCTTATCAAAATTAGTGCTCACTGCACAGAATCTGTTTGGGCCAGAACAAATCAGGGACTAAAAATAATTTTATGGCTTGAGATTAAATGGTATTCCATAAGTTGGGAGCCCCGCTGCATTTACATCACTTTTTTCCCCCTAGACTGTCAAAAGCGTTTTTCTTCAATTATTTCATACCCTCCATGGAGGGTGCTGAAGACTGATTACCACTTTAGTAGCAAATATTCAAAATTAAGTGGGGGTGACTGAAATGTTCAATTGATTTTTTTGAGAGAGTGAAGTTTCTTAGCATTATTTGTCAGTAACTAGCTGAAGAACTAGGAATTGGAATATTCCGTTCTTTCAGCTTACCACAGCAAATACGAATTTTTATTACGTCCGTTTATTTTAACAGTTTTCTTGTAAAATTTATAGTAGCAGTCACCAGTTTATGTATAACTAAGGCTATGTGTGCTCTTCGGTTGTAAAAAAGCGTTCAAACCCTTCGGTAATCAATCTGAGATTTCGACCAGTTCAATGTATTGTTAGGTTTAGGGTTGTAAAACTTACGTCCTTCAGACAGTCTTTGTCTTTCACTAAGTATGGCTATCATTTATTAGAAGTGTACGTACAATTTTCTTCGCTAGAGAAAACTAGTGTCATGCGTTACAACGCGACACGATACGTCAGCAAAAATTTGACGATTCTCTCAAAAGTTGCTAACTAATGTTCCATTCTATTTCTGAGTTATTTATTGGGTTGCGTTTCGCCAAGATTCATCCGTCACTTCTCGCAAACATCTGCAACGCAATAATACTACTACGCATTTCAAGTGTGAAGTTCCCATAAATTCAGGTGTTGTGCATAGCTGCCATACCCTCTATTCAATATGCCAAGAGCAAATTGGGAACAAAAGATTCATATCAGTCCAATTACGATAACATTTTACAAATAAAACATACATTTTCATTAAATATGAACAAGTCACATCTTATCATTCCCATCTGTCCAATTCTAAAAGTAATATAAATATCATTAATCTAATACTTACCGCCGAGGACATCATCATTGTTTGATTTTGGAGTGGATGTCATAGCTACTTCCTCATTAACAGTACACCACAATAAGCACTCAATTCACCAATTCACAATGCATCGAATATCGCTAAACAGCCCTTCACGACAACGTCGACGTTTTGTTTGCCAGTGTAAGCAGTCAAATACGCACCACTGTGTGTGCAAACCCGATCGAAATTTATCGAAGGCAAATTTCTTTTTCAAATAAGGTAAAAAGAATGAAGTAATTTTTAACGAATTATACCCAGTATTCGAACAATGAACCAACAAATATTTATTTATACAATGTCAAAAAGTTACTTGCTTCACTATTTGTAGTCTCGTATTGTTAGACAGCAGATCGCAGCATCATCTAGCTCGTCAACAGCTGATTGCGTGTCTCGACTGCTCCCGAAAGGTCCAAACGCAACACAATTAAGCCTCTATGCTCCATTAACGGAAAATAAACATTCGTGTAGTGACGGCAGGTTGATATTTTGGCGAACTTTAAGGTGCGTATGCTTAGGCGTAATTTCATGTGCGCTTGGGTAACTCCCCAATGCATGAAACACTTTTTCCTCGACGGTGCCTTTACTTTTTGATTTTGTATAAATAATAGTGAATTAAAATGGTTGCTATGAAGTGTCAGGAACCTAAATACAAGTGAAAATTATTTGCCTGAATTTGCAGGAGTATTTTATCGCTTTATTTTTACCATTAAAAATGAAATAAAAACCAAAACTTCATTTTATTAGGAAGCAGCTTTGCCGTTCATTTCTCAGTCTGGCGTATGCGAGGTCGAATAGACGTGCATACGTTTAGAAGGTAATTTTATTGTGGCTGTGTGAACTTCTGTTTAATGGTTATTTATCTCGATAAATTAATCTCTGCAATGTTAATTAATTTGTTTTTGCATTTAATTTCTAACGGCATTATAATGTAAACTGAAGGTTAATCGAGGCATGTTGTATGTAGAAAACAGATCTGGGCATCAACAGCTAATAGAAGTTGCGTTATGGTTAAATTTAAGATTTAAAGTAAGGTTGCTGTACTCTAATAAAGATAATTTCACACCAATATACGATATAAAATAATGTTTTATTCGTACCAAGTAGCATTTTAGCGAACGACGTTATTTCGAATGCTATATCGTTCAGTTGCTCATCTTTGTTCGACATATGATTTTGTAATGATACATCGGAAGACAAATTTGTTCTTAAATGCGTTTGTTTAGTGTATCTTCATTATTCACGATTGTTTTCTTGTCTATTTTGCGTATAATTATGATTTGCTTGTATCTTTAAAATTATGCATTTTATTGACAACTGGTGAGGAAACTGGTACCTAGTGACCTTTTTTTACTGCGTATATGAAAAAAATAATAATTATTTTATTTCTAAATATTAGAATGCAAATTTACAGTTAACTTGCCTCATCAGGCTATTTTTTGAGCAAGTGTATTTGGAGTTCTGCAAATAAGTGAGCACAGTGTATGTACTAAATGTTATTGTCATTCTCTGTAATACAGCATCAACTGAAAGTTATGATAATGAAGATCCCAGATGATAGCAATAAGAGCTACAATGGACACGAGTCATCTAGTCCATATATGTCTGACAGCTCTGGGAATGGAGATGATGTTGACCCTCCAACAATGGATGGAGATTTCTCTGAATACTTGTGGATGGAGCATGAAGAAGAATTTGATAAACAGGTATTTACAGTAATCAAAAGGTATTTTCTAGAAGCATATCTCTTTTGGTAATTTTGTAAATTACAAACACGTTTGCTCCATCAATTTTCTTACTTTCTCTTTTTAAAAAAAACTAAACGGTAACTATAATATTATTGTACTTACTATGATTTATTGGTATTGATAGTGATCTAGTAGTATCTAACTTCATACTTTTTCTAGAAGTGATATATTAACTTCCATATACAGAAACAAGTTCCAAATTGTTTAAAAGATTGCAGTTGTTGCTTACAATCGCTTTCTACAGTTCAACATCACTGTTGAAAGAAGTTTTGCTCATTGCTAGGTGCAAGGATCTGGATGAAAAACGTTTAATATGTTTGCCATTATTTTTGGTAACTACTGCCAATTATGTTCCTCATGGTTATGAATTTTATAAATATAGTGTTACCTTTAACGGTTACTAACGCTGATATGAAAACAATGGTATTGGTTATTCTTTAATTGGGTAATGTATTGTTGACAGTGATTCTATGGGTGAAGTGATAATGTGCCGTGAAACTAAAAGTGTCGTTGCTATTGATGATTGATAATTATTTTTGTAGCACGAAAATGCATGTTGTCTTTCCGGTAAATAATTGTATTGTCCAGATGGATGTAGTCTTTTCTAAAACGACAGAACAAAAATTGAAAGTTATTTAGAAGTCATTTTTGAAAAATCAGTACTTTAGTTATAATACTGATTCTTTGATATTGTTAATGAATATTTGCCACTTTTGATAGTGGCAATTTTTTTTATTGCTCTTATCCAAGATAGGAATGAAGAAATGTCATGTGTAATTTATTTTCTTTACAAATATCATTTGTTGCCTTTCTGCAATAGTTCAAAAGCTGTTTGACAATTATTGTTTTGGTACAATAAATAATTAAGACAATCTAAAAAATTTAATTTTATACTAAATTAGAACAAAAACTGATTGATAATTTATTGATTTTGACAAAAAATTTACTTTATATGTTACTCTTTTTTGTTTACTATTTTGCTGACTACTCTCATTATTACATTTGGAAACAAATTGGCTTCAATATTTGTTTCACTCGAGGTATATGTTGTTCTATATTGCTTTTATATGATATATTTTTAAAACGCATTTGTACAATAATAATGAAATATCAAACTTTTGCTATTTGCTCTGTTTCTTTTTTTTTTTTTTTTATCTTGTTTTTCAGACCTATTTTCATTTCATGAAGCAAATGTTTAAATCTGTTATTGAAGTTAAAAATGAAGTTCAGTTAGGTGAAGGCTTGTAATTTATATTTGCAAAATTAGTTGTGATATTTCACTTTCTGAGGTACTAATTTCCTAGAATCCTCACTACACGTTATGAAATGCATAGATCTTTGATGATTTACATCAAATTTCCAATGAAAACAATATTTTTTTATTATAATATGTGGTGCCCAGCTGAGAGGTTTTCTTATAAATAATTTTTCATTTATGCTTAATATATTTGCTATTTATTAATATTTGTTGACTATAGTTAGTATTTATTATGTTAACAATTTGTATATTGGAAGACTTTCATAAGTATAGTAAATAGGTAGAAGTTATGGTTTTAAGTGTGTGTCATTGTGATTTTGTGTGTGTGTGTGTGTGTGTGGGGGGGGGTTGGGACTGAAACCCCATAGTGCGTGACCTCTGCACAGGTATGTCCCTGATTAACTCAAGGACAAACATTAATATATCAAATTTGTTACTGCAAATGTTCATAAATAAAATGTTACAATAACATCAGCCAAATCAATTGAGATGTTGAAAGCGTGGGTGTTTAGTGTGTTTTGAAATAAAGTATATTTAAACAAATGAAATCATTTGCGGAAGCTTATTACCAAGAGTTTGGAAACCTGCAGGTCTACAATTTAAATTTTTCTGATAGATTCCATTGATTTTCTTCTGTAATATGGACCATATCTGATGGCTTAGTTATAACTTCAGAGTCAAGCAAAGTGGATACAGTCAACAAATCCAATACAAAGTTTTGCCTTAAGCTAAAATTTATTTTAGAAAAGCAGTAGTTATTACATTCACAAACTCCTTAAGAAAATGTTTTGCCAGAAAGAGGTTTGATATATTTGAAATAAAAATGAAAATCTGAACATTAGTATTCATACATGATATGGAGAAAACTATAAATTTGGTCACAGTACAGTTTAATGCACCTTACATAATGCGAATTGGGCATGTGCGGAGCATCATGATCATGATCATTGATCATGAGAAAAATTGTATTCATTAGTTTTGTGCTGCATTAATGAATTTGTTTCTTGGTGGTTAAAAATTTGTACGAGATGGCAACTTTCTGGAATTTGACAACTGCACATCCCATTACGGGCAAGGGCCTCCTGCACATGTAGAAAGTTATTAATCCTTCTTTAATCAAGTGATACGGGTGAAGGGACGATCACAAATACATCCATGCCCAAGGCAGAATTTGAACTAGTGGAGAATAGGAAAACTAGCGGAGCTGCAACAACACATACTTTCTCGTAATATAACAGTTATGAAATATTACAATATTACAATTTCTGTATTACACTTAAGCTTTCAGTTCAAATCAAAACAAATAAAGCATGAAAAACACATTTTTTTAAAATTAAAAAATGTAATTGAAAATAAAATATTCTGCCATTAAATTCATTGTATTCGCATACATGAACACATCAACAATGTCTGATGGTACTTCACCGTAAATAAAATTAACTGTTAATAGCAGCTGCCACTTCGGTCTATTGTTGCCAGATCGGCGTTATCAAAAAAAGTTTGGCAAATTTATTTCCCAACACAGTAACCCTGATAGCGCTGTCAACCAAAAATAGATAAAAAAGTATACTATTATTAAGTATAATATTGTAATACAAAAATAAAATTGCTTGTTTTTAAAACTAATTACGAGTCACTCTCCTTGCAATACTAAATTTGTTTTCACACTTACCAAAATTCTCTCAAATATCATAACTACTATAACGAAGAATATGTCCATTAAAAGAATTATAACTCTAATATTGAGAAATAGATTGCACAAGAAAAAAATGTGTAGCTTCAATATTAAATGTTTAAGACAGGTTCGAAAAACTTAATTTTTTTCAATATCAAACTCAAATTTACTTGAAAACTGCTCATATTTTCAGAATAATGAATGTGACCTTATTTAAAATATTTTTTTAGATCACATTTTATTAAGGAAAATGAATATTAGTATTGTTTTGAGATTTGCGAAAAATTGACCTTCTCCCCCATACGTCACTTACAGTATTTGCTGTTTTTTTGACTAAATGATTCTAAACATAAGAAACCTCCAAAATCACAGCATCCGTTTAAAATTCAAGGGACCGCGACGCCAGCGAAAACCATCGGGAAATTTCAGTGAAAATCCTGCCACAGTTTAGCCACAAACGTCCAGACTGTCAGACGTTTTGAATTAAACCAATTTTTCGATGTAAAGGAATTGCAGAAACGTGCATTCTGACTACACACCATTTTAGAGGTAGATATTTACAACACAAGAGTAGACAGGTCTGGAGGTTGGTGTTAAGACCGAGTATCTTCTGCCGAAAATATATATTAAGGGGAAAAAAACAAAGCCGACTTTTTTTAAAATTGTCATTATTTATTTTATGTAACAGTAGAGTTCATTTTTGCAATGTGAAAAACAGCGTTGCGCTTTGCATCTTTTATATAAACTCATTTAACAATATTTGCAAATCGATTTTGTCGGACATGTCACTATACACAAGCAAGATCTCTACATTGTTGATCGCAAACACGTCGAGTCGACACATGCTGAGAAATTTCGTTCATTTGAACAGGATGATCCAGGAATCGTGACCAACAGACGAACAAAACGTACGAACTCTGGGATAAGCCCTCTTGTCCATTCGCAGTTTTACAGAAAATATACGACATCCCCCAAGTTTTTCTCAGATTCATTTTGTCTCTCAAAAGTTTCCGCCGGCCGCATAGCAGTCATCTCTATCAAAACTAAGATTTTCTCGGCGTCGCAGGCTGTACCAGAGCGAATCGTTCTAACAATTTGAACAATTGCGCTGCTCACTTATCAAATTGACTTTTGAAGGCCACGATCGAAGACTTCAAAATATGATATCCTGACGAAATCTTCAGGTAATAATTTGCAGTTGTCGATTGGTCCTGGATCAAGACGTTTAGACACCCTTCGCGGAAGCGGAACTGGACGTTCAAGTTAAAGTTCTTGAACAGCAGCAGCCCTTACACACCAAATCTGACATTTATTATCGCGAGAAGCGTCCGACACACGAGTCACTGGTTCTATTTTTTCATATGATGTCATAACGCTCAGAATCGACGTCCGGGGTTCCTTGTCCAATATTTCTACGCGATCGAAAATTTCAATCATCATTTCGTTAGGCAATAAATGCACTCGAACTATTCCATAAAATCGTAGATCCCCGATGCTTTCGCAGAGACTGCACTGTCAATTTATTTGTCAACTGCACAGTCGTGGTGAAATAGTGCGATATTTGCCATGTCTTCGGAGATTTGATGCGTACTACCCAGGTGTTATATATATATATATATATATATATATA